GTGTACGTGTGGACGCGCCCCATATAATCCCGACGATGCCTCTAGTCTTCTCTCCGCCTTGGAGATCATCCTTGATCCGCGTCGAGAAGTCATTTTCATGCAACTACGAGTACTTGTCGTTGCGTTTTGTTGCGCGCACACGTGATTTTCATAAACGCAGGACAAATCTCGCTGGACGTAGGACGCTTTCCCTTCGAATTGCGCATATTTATAAACATTCTAACTTGGCCAATGTCTGAGATTTTAATAAGTAAGATATTATTATTTGAAAGAGAGATTAAAACTTTTGATTGTTACACAACAATATAAATAAATATTTGTACGTATTTATGTTTCTAGTTATAATATATTTTTTTCAGAATATTATTTAAATTGATGCACGCAGTTTTTAAATTAAAAAAGGGAAATTGTGTGAGAGAATAGGAACATTTTCATAATCGCCAGTCATCCGCGGTTTACAATCACATGCCCGAATTTACCGTCCAAAACAAACCGCATGTCGGACATCGCTACGATTTATTGCGTTGACACGTGTCTCTGTCGCGTATTTCGTTCCTTCGTAGTTCCCCTCTCTTAACGGCGATTAAAATATATTTTCGAGGATAGAAACGACCGAGTTTCTACATCTTGAGTTCTCGTATGTGTGCTTACTGTTTATACTAGAAATAATATCTTTATGTTAAGAAAAGAAAACAAAAATATAAATTATTCAATTCAATCTAAAAATTAACTAGTTTTTTATCTATAATCTATTTTAACACACATAATTGTTTTGTTTGACACAAATTAAACATTGCTTCTGACAAATTTGCAAATAATTCTATCTCAGTAAAAATAGTTATTTAAGCATCGCTTAATATAACTCTAACCCAACGCTGAATATAAACTTGGCAAAATTCTCCAACATAAAAAGAGCAACTTTACATCGCTGTTCTATTAACAACCGGCGAAAAAGGCGCAAAAAGAGGGCGTTTACAACCGAGGGTTGAGTAATGGATTATATTCCTTCCTGTGATCGCGAGCATTAAAAAATGGTAAATGCTCTTAATGATGGCATTAATAATTGTATTCACCAAACTGCCAGTATTGACCTGAAGACACCCATACGTGGCACGCCCGCAGAATACCCTTGTAACGATCTGGTTCGCATTCATCTGGGCGGAGAGATCGTTTGTGAATGAGCGAACATTCAATGGGCGCACTTTTGATCTCGGCGTTATTAATTATCCGCAAGTAGCTGCGAACGTTTGGATCTCTTCCTGCCCGCCTGAATTTCGTAAATCATCTAAACCGCGATTTGACGGGTTCATCGGCATCAACCAGTTTTGTGATTTAGATTATTTAATACTTCTCCACATATATATATATCTTGTCTACTTAATAGAAACATAAAATATACATGAATCTCGAAATAAGTTATTCGATTCTCACGATTGTTGAAATAATTTGCAGGTAACGCGCACCTCAGACTAGCGGATGTCGGCGTTCTGAATACTTCAGTTTGTTCCCTGATCACCGAGCTAGATCGCCGACTTAAGATCGCTCGAGGCGGTCAGAGATCGTTCGGTAGGTGACCCTTATCGCCTTATTAGAGGATGCACTCACCGTACTTTATACTTTACAATGGCTTATCTCTCATACCTGCGCGCCTTTATCTCGACCCGGTATCGATACACACTGTCCCTACCATGCCCTTCGGACCGGGCATACTTAACACAGACCGTCATTACTTAACGGAGAGTAATAAAGTTGTATTACCAATTAGACCGTCCCGTGGAAGCACGCGCATGAACAGCTCTCGCCGATAGTTGGTAGCTTATCGTAGTTGCGATCGTTGCGCTGCCTTGTTCCGATCTCGCGAGAAGGATAAAATCGGCGATCCCAAAGGATAATCATTGTTATCTCGCGAGCGCGCGGCACTTGTTTCGGGCCGCGCAACTGCGCGCACCGTCACGAGCGGCAGGTGGATGCAAATCGCGGACTTAGTCATCGTGAATATTAAATGCAGATCGGGGCACAATTTCCTCGTTGCACAATGATGCGCAATAATTGTACAGTGGCTGCAGGAGGCTCGGCGCAAAAATCCACTCATCGCGCCGCACGCTCCGGCCGAAAAAAAGGATCCGGAAGTACGAAGGACACGCGGGACGGAGGGACCGGGGCGCTCGACTTGTGTAGTTTGGCAGAGCGATTTTTATTCACAACGGGTGGCGGTAACTGAGCGGCCGCAAGGGGCAGCGGCGAGGCAGAGGGAGGGGAGCGAGATGGAAAGACAAACAAATGGATAAGTGTGAGTGTGTCCAGGCACGTAATTAATGGGTAGTTTGGCGGTCGGCTGGACAGCTGTCCTCTTTTTTCTACGGCGACGGACGGAACCGTATAGCCGACGGAACGTCGCGGCAACCGAAAAGTGGAGAACGAGAAAGAGAAACGCGGAAACCTCCTCACGGTCCAACTTAGACACGGCTCCAGACATGGCGGAAGGAGCAAGATGGATTACCTGACACTACCGGACAAGATCAATTGAATTTCTATTTGGACGTAACCGAGCCCGCCCTTCTAGGTACCCCCCTCGATCCTATGAGTTCCTGGCGCACGAGCGTTAACGTCTAATTCTTCTCCAGCCATCGTAGACGACAATCTCCCGGCATGTCTTTCTGACAGCAGTAAAACTTGAAATTTTCTACATTATCATTTTTTTTTTTATAATTACAAATTTTTCATATATAATTGTTTGCTGCATATGCATGAATCATCGCGTGTGCATAAACACACTTTAAATTTTTGCAACAGAAATAATTTGCAAATAATAAAAGTAATACTCTTTCCAAATAATATAATTTAAGTTATTAAAAAAAAAAAAAACAATTTTACAACTGAACTACATTGAAATTAATATAATTGTAAATAACGGAATTTTTGCCGCAAGTTTCCGCATGATAGTAGACTTGATAATTTTCGCGGTGGTCCTCTTAATTCTTTGCACACGCACAATAACAGCGGAGGGTCACGCATCCTTCTTTTGCTGTCTCTCTGACGGTCGAGTAATAATAAATGACTCTTTGGCAGTAGCTATCTAATTACCTTCATGGACACCGCACAAATGCACGATGCAAGTACTGATAATCGCATAACTTTTTTGTTAGCGGTTTCACTATGTTGGTTGGTTTAGCATTCAGCTAATTAATAAAGCGGAATTGAAAAAATTCCACGTTAATTAAGAACAAGGTATCTGCGATTATTCTGTGCGTCACAAATTTAGCGTTTCTCAATTTGTACTTTTTTAAATACATACATTTTTTTCAAACTTAAATCTTAAAAATATATTTATGTAATTAAGAGGTATAAATAACAGCGATTGAAAATTAGCGCGAAATAATAGCGCATACGTATGTGGGGATCTGTGTGTACGTGTGGCCTTAACACGTTATAATGATGCGACGCATTGTCTGGAATTATAATCGTGCCACTTTCTTCTGTATGCATCATTTGTTTTAGCGAATGTCGCGTCATTGGCAGCGTATATCGCGCGAAACAAGTGCAAGCATTTTTGCAGTCAATAACCGATTACAGTTATCGCACCGATACTCCGCCGCTGACGGATACCGTCCGTCGCCTTGCCAGACTATTTTTCGCCGATAACACACGAGTACGAATAATCGCGCAATTGTATTTAACGATCGCGACGTAGAAGCGTAATAATAATGAGCAGCGAATAACGCTATGGTGGCGAGCGACTGGTGTCAATCGGCCACAATCTCGAGCGTAAACGTCGCGTGTGTATATCGATATGGGGCACGGCCGAATACATGAATTGGGGTGTTAATGAGCCAGCTCGGTAATAACTCGCTAAATGCCGGCGCCGCTCGCGCGAGCCGCTTATTTCTACCTTCAAGAACTTGCATCTGCATTTCGTACGAATGCATTCGCGGTCTGTATAGCGATGCCACGACTTCGGCCAACAAACCGGCAATGCATCGTTAGCCCGACTGGCTGGCAGATAAATGACGTGGTCGCCTCACATCTGACGTGAATGAAGCCACGATGGCTTACCCGCGCGTATACCTACACGCGTATTTACGCGCGCGTGTGCGTGGCCCGCGTCGGTGTGCCCGTACAACCTACGCCATTCCACCCGGTGATCTGAGCAATAACTACCTAATGGTACATTGAACGCCATCGTCTAGCTATGCGGCCACGACTTTCCGCGGGTTTCGTTCAGATTAATTAAACGTTTCGTCGATCCGCCTGAGTTTTAGCCCGGAGTGAGCGTTTGCGCGAATTGATCACGTCCCGTTAACAAGCGTCGGCTGGCCGGCTGAGCGAGCAGCGTAATAATAATCGCGAGCACGGTCATAAGTAAGCAGGTTTAATGGAATGTTTCGTCAACCTTGAAGCCACTAAGTCATGACGATCTAAATCCAGTTGGTCTCACGAGCGTATGCTGAAATGACTTTATTTAACGAGAATAGATCTCGTGGGAAAATATCGATCAATAATCACTATTATTCTCTAACGACCATATCCGGTCGACGAAGAGTATGATTTATCTAATGGTTTTCCCAACACGCTTACATCATAATCTCCCTTAGGAGCTATTTTTGCAATCATTTATGCTGCAGCTTTCTTTTGCCAACATGTGGTAGTCTTTGCACGAGACTTTAACCATTATATGAACTAAATATGAAAAATATAATGGCATAAACAAAAAGAAAAGTTTTGCGCATACGAGTTTAAGTATTTTTATATTACCAAAATTTTGAATATGTTTTTTGCTTTATGGAACAAAAAGTACACTAAAAAATACACTAGAAAAGATAAGAAAAGATAAGAAAAATTTAATTTATGCTATATTTTTTCCAATGGTTTGTATAAGTATTTCTGTATGTCCGTTATATATCGAGACAATATTTTGCTTAAAATTATGCGATCATTAGCCAAAATTGAGTGTCATAATTAGATTATTATCAGTATCTTAATCGTGTGAAATTATTTTTCAGCGGTCAGATGGCAGTTACTTGAATGCATGAAGTATTTAACGTGCGTGCAAAATTTGGGAGTGGCCGTTACACACAATACACAGCTTATAAGAGAGGGTGGAAGTTGTCTTCCCTAGCGGCAGAAGAATCCACTGGTTTCCGGTACACGCAAAAGTCTCATTAACTTTTGCCACCCGATATACGTCGCGTTTTAAAATAAATCTACCGTTCTTTGACCAGAAATGGCATAAGAACGATAATTATAACTGACCAAAGAAAATATGTATACGCAATAAAGATTAATGCAATTGTAAAAAGTCATGATGTACAAGTGAATTCATATGTTAAGATAATATCAGTATTTTCTAGACAAGTTATTTTCCAAAATTTGTGCGTTATATAATTTAATTTATAGGAATGCATGCATATACCTCTCCGATATACGGTTCTAATTAAAATTGTGTTAATAAAAATAATTGAAATGCATAAATGTCATGCATTTACCGATGATCGAGCGATGTGTCGTTTTAATTTACAACGTTATGACGGAACATCCTACGCAGATCGAATGAGGAACATCGGCGGTTCCACGGCGGATGAGCAGCTAGCGAAGCATCGTGACGTCGGTGGACTATCATCGTATCAATGCGGCGGAGATTGACAGTCCCGGCCATGATAAATGATATTTCCAACGTTCCTCACTCCGCTCCCGCTCGTACCACTGCGGATCCATCCCTGCTGAGTTCGGCTCGGCACGAGGGTGCTTCGACCGAGTAGACTGAGTAGCGAGGAGGAAAGATATTCGCGACGAGAAGTAAACACGTTACGCAAACAAACGCTGGATCGATAATTTCCCTCTATCTTTGCAACACTATATATGGTAAGATTTTGTAAAAATTATATATATCTAATATATAAGTCATTGATGTTAATTACTAAACTTCTTTAACCTATAAGTACTAAATAGAAACTACAGTTTCAATCAAATTTTGTTAACATTTACAATAGCAGAACTGCGAATATTATTTAGATCGACAGATGCATATGTAAACAAAAATGTATACATGTATACATTTTTGTTTATACAAAATATGTTTGTTATACAAAATATGTATACATGTATACAAAAATTAATTATTAGTGATTCTGACAAATAGTGTGCCCATTTTAACAATCTTAAGAATTTTCGCTCCATATTATGTCTAGCACGAGCTATGTTCAGGTAAAAATTGAGTCAGGTAAATTTTTTACTCAGGTAAAATTTTTTTTGAAGTCATCTTGAACATCTTTTTCTATTTCTTGCGTAACAGTAAAATCTAACTGTATAATACTGCACACTAAATTGAATAATTTTATATCAATATCTTAAAAATAAAATTTTATATTAATATCTATAAAAAAATAAAATTTTATTTCAATATTTATAAAAAATTTAAATTTATATTAATTATAATTAAATGTAAATATTTATCAGGAGACGTGGTAGTGTCTCCGACCAAGTTCAAAATTATCTTATATTTGTATATTTTCTTATCTTATTATTTGTATTTCTGTACGTGTGGTAAGCATTAAATCCTCTTGGGTATAACGTGAACCCTTTGGGGCGCCAAACAGACACTAATCGGTGACAGTGACTCAAAGAAGTACCTCTTAATTTGCGTTAATGTTTAGCTTATTGAATATAATTTGATAAAAAGCTTGGGGCGGAAAAAATTGTAAATATTTAAAGTCATGAATATATTGTACGTTTTTACAATACAATAATGATACCAGAAATTATAAATTTTCAAACCCTTTTTCTATTCTTTCCCGTATTTCCGAAAACATATTCTTAAAAAAATTCTATTGAAAAACGGATGGTATGCGAAAGGTATCTCATTGTTTTCTACATCAAAAGGCAGACGTCGGCGGTTATTGTACGATTTTTGACCAACAAATCTGTTTTCTTGCTTTGTAAAACACTTTGTCGTCAAGTTTGATTTAACGATTTGACAAAAAGGAATAAATACGATGAACGATGTCAGTAGAATGATTAATTATTGAAAGTTGAAATACGAAATATATTTATATTCAATGCACAAATAAATTGACTGAAACAGATATTTTAATCTAATAAAATAAATAAAATGTGCAAATTTTGCGGTGAATTCTCTGTATGCGTGTAAATCCCTAGATGCACGTAATCTGTCGTGGTGAGACGCTTTGTAAACGAAATATAAATCAATCGCACAATAATAGACGTACCGTGTGGCATGATCTCGATATGCCCAATTTTCCCAAATGGCTGCAAATGCCGCCCTTTGCAGCAACGTAAAGTCCTTATTTCGATTGTAGCTCACGCGGTGAAGGCTCAGATTGGCTATAGCACATATGTCACTTTATGGGAGGTTACGTCATGTAACGCGATCTACGTTCTATACACATTTTATACAGATGTATAAATTTAATTCGTTAATTAAGATATAATATGTTTACATAAGAAAGTGTTTTTTTTTTTTATTGAAATCACATCTTCACACTTTAATGTTGTTTTATTGTCATCTTTACGTTATCCCAAAACATACTATTAAACTGAAAAGAATTCTTTTAGACAATTTTTCTTCTTTCAAAAAAGGAAGGCTTTACACAAATGAAATATAATATAGGGTTCTTCCGTTAGTCTTTTATACCTGCGATTGCCACTGAAGCCAACTTGCTTCAAAATAAAATGTTCTACACCAAACGTTAATATTGAAATATATGATTATTTAAATACATTACACGTGTGTGAATCTTGAGATTTTTGCGGTATAAAGTAATTGAAAAAGTAAACTCATAAATAATAGTGACATCAAAATTTTGGATTTTTTTCTATCTATATTGCACAACGGATCTGTTTTATAATGACCGTATCGATATAGTCCTCATATAAAGGCCACCAAATACTCACACAGTATATAGAATATAAAAATATATTCGTTTAAATCAGAGCTCGGCGTCAGTTGCACATTTCGGCTCGATTCTTGAGACGACGCCTTGTCGCTCTCTCACTACCGCCCGGCCGCTAGCGGTAGTGGGAGAGCGGGAAGCGTCGTCCCAAGAATCGAGCCGAAATGTGTGACTAACGCCGAGTTCTGGTTTAAATAAAGACAAATATAATCTATCGCAATCGTATCGTGAAATGTTTGATTGCAAAATGATAAAAACCATGTTAAAAAAGGTAAAATTATTAACGACTGCTAATTATTTTCTTTTGACTATCAAAAAGCAATTTCTTATTTCACGTGTAATGCATTATAGATTAACACAAGCTAACAAAAATAAAGTCAGTAGCTAAAATCATTATGAAATGCTCCTAAGTGTGGAACCCTCGTCCCTTCCCACAAATATCGTCCATCAAGAATTATTATTTATTGCTATCGTCTCAGTCGGCTAACATAGAATGCATTTCACATCCACACGCGTGAGAGCGCGAAGCCATTCTTCCAACATCGTTTGATTCACTGTATGTGTCTGAACTTGACCGCATATATGCGACGCGAACGGATGTGTGTGCGTATGCAGACGCGTGTCCATCCGATCAGTCGATCCAGCCGTTTAGAATCCCCGTAGGTTTGGTCACCGCTTCGAATGTTAACCACATCATCAATCATTTTTTTTTTTCGTCGATGCTTTACTATTTATAGTTTGTCCGCAAGGCCGTCTATTATCTTCCGTTAAGGATAATTATTTTTGAACCGTTTTTTTAGCCTTGTTATGGCCCTAGCCGTATCGTTGACGCCTTGTCTATTACGTTTAATTAATATATCTCACTTAAGTAGCCTAATACTTTCTTGTTTTACGCCCAAAAATAACGATTCCTCGTTATTTGAAATTGCCGTATATATTTGTAAATATTAGCGACGTCCGTAAGGAAATCATGCCTAGCCTGACAGTCTGCTTCAGTATCTCATCCGATAAGTACGTAATTATATTTCTGTACTTGTGCCAATCAATTTAGATCGTAGTTCGTAATAACAGTACGCGGTCGAGTTGTGTGAAATCGGAAAAAAATTGAAGAGAAGAGCAAAATAGCTAATTAAAAAAACGCTGTACAATTTAATCCACTACTTTTTTTCGTTCTTTTATAAAAGTGCGTTATTTATGAAAGTAAGTATGATTATAAGAGAATAAAACATAAAAAAATATTTTATTCACTTGCGCGCACGTGGCAAGCAATACGAAGAAATAAATTTATGCCATTGTTTAATTATTAGTGTTTTGTAAAAATAATTCTTTTTCTAAATTGTAGTACAACTATAAAAGAAGTTATTTCTCGTGCGAAAATAAATCAAAAGTGCGGAATAAAATTTTGTCTTTATTATCGCAAAAATTGATTTTAAAGAATTTTGAATAACTTTTGACAATCTTGTACCGTTATCACTACAAGATCATCCCACATTGCACATTTTTATTGTTTTAATATGCAACTTTACGATTTTCTGGCATGCATTACCGTGCACGTAAAATTTCTCTGAATTTTTATTTCAGTTAAATCACGATTTCAAACACATTGAAAAAGATCATAACAGTATCATATGTCTATCACGTGTTTTTCCAATTTCTCGAAGATATTCGAAGAGCAAGACAGGCAAAATAAATATTAAAACGAAACAGCTATGTGTAAATCTCATTAGATTATATTAGATTATATTAGGGGATTGCTAATATTGTTGCATTTTGTGTTATTTTCTTTCATTTGCTTTGTAATAATAATAATGATAATTAGTTATCACTCACGTAAATTAAAGCTGTCGATATTCTTGTCTAAATAACAAACTTCTTAATCCACAAAAATTTATTTTGTAGATAACTGTGTTTCCACGAAACACAGTTATCTACAACAGTAAGTCTAGTACAAATGAGTAATGACTGTAGCAAAGATGTCCCGTACGTGCACATGGCACGGTGTATTGTGCGAGGTCGGGTTGGAAGAGGGGGATCCAATGTGAATTCTGTGTCAATAGCGATAATAATAGTGGGAGGGGACTATAGCACGAGCAGCAGATCAAAAATCGAATGTGTATCGGGGGTGGCCTTCCTGATGAATGAAAAGGCAGGCTCACAAAGGCAGAGCTCCCCTATATTCGATTGGTAGAACTATGGCAGTTTGAGCTCTCTAAGGGTACCATCCCCTCCACTTTGTCAAAGGTCCAAATCTATACGGCATGGAACGTAGTTTGGTGAAAGTACGGTTTTGGCACGCACGAAAAGTTTTCTTGCAGTTGCAGAAACTGTTTCGTAGAAGCAGTCCCAAATGAGACATTTGTTCGTTTTTCATTTATCATATGCTTCGAAAAATCGTAGTGATGATTCCGTTATCACGATATTTCGCATTACATGCCAGAACATTGTAAAGTTGTATATTAAATAGAAGTTGCATGTTCAATAAAAGTGTACAAAGTGGGATAACCTTGTAGTGACAACCAAGAATGAAAACTTACTCACTTTATCTTGTGTGTAAAAGATAGAATTTTGCAACCAACACGTGTGTCATATTTTTATTTACTACTATTCTGATTAATTTGGTGTGATAATACGTGTATTAATACGAATTCTAATTAATAATTAATAATTTTAGTAATGAACTTTAATTACGACCATAATAATTATTTGGTCGAGCAACAAATTGGATACAACAATGGTTGGCAACAATCACAAGTGGCGCCATTACATTATACTGTCGACTATGTCGACTTACCTCCGCCATCCACGTGGACCTATATGAATAACGAAAAAAAAGCTGGTCAGGAACATTTTTCGCAAATACTAAAAACTGCTCTAACACATGGCAGCGCAGTGGCAATAAAAAATTATACAGCCGATATAAGTGCACATATAACGGCCCCGAATAACAATCCGATAAATTCTACAACACCCAATAATCAATTTTCACAAGATTGGAATACTCAAGCAGAAAGAGATTCCTTGTGTTCATCGTCTTCATCTCAAAACCAAAAATCAATGCCTACAACATGTAATAGTTATCTTTCACCTGAATGGAATACTCAGTATTCAGAAGCGGATCTTTTTTCTTCATTATCACCTAACCATCAACAGCCAACAATTCCTGTGACATATAATAATAGTAATAATAATAATCTATTTTCACGTGAATGGAATAATTTTCATACAGGAAGAATAGAATCCATCGATCCTTCGTCAAACATGACGTCACACGAATCACTGGAGAGACACGAGCAACAGAACATTCAAAATAACTATGGACAAACTCATAATCTGGGATACGTACAATTTAGCAATTATATGAACAATACATGTATAGGTCCACTGACAGTTACTAATCCTGAGATGCAATTTCAATCGATGCAACGTAATATTCGTCTTATAGATCAAATATCCAAGCGTGATCATAAAAAGAAAAAAATAACATGTATAGGTAAAGAAATTTCTTCTTTTAAAACATTTTGACACAATATGTATCGTTGCATACTAAATAAAATTAATGTCAAGCCAATTATTATGATATATATAATAATATAATGTAAGATCAATTATTATATGACACGTATATACATATACGTATATACATATATATGATACGATTATATTATAAGCTCTTAAGGAACTCATTTTTATGTTTTATAAAAATAATTCATACATATTATAAATACGTTTTTTACGATAATATTTTACTGTATACAAAAATACTAAAAAATATACGCAGAAAATATGTAACAACTAGTATAATATCGTAATATCGAAAATTACCGTAAATTTTTTAATATAAACACATTTAAATGGTTTACCTCATTTAACATGTTCTTTTAAAATATTGAGATATTGTTACAAACTGTATAATTAGATTTTTTATAATAAATTATTGAATCAATTTTTAATAAATTAAACTTACTTTTAATACAATCTTTCAAGAGCTATTTTTGGGCAATATGCACTATTTATTAGAATTTTTCTATCGTAGTTCTATAAATTTTTTGACACAGTATATCGTAATTTATAATTATAAATTGTAATATAAATGTTGCAGATAATACATTAGAACAAGGAAGACGCACGAGACAAACTTACAGTGCTGAACAAACTTTAATATTGGAAGAAGCATTTCGAAAAAACGAATATGTGTCGAGAAAAATGCGTATGATATTAGCTGATAGAACCGAATTGAGCGGAAATCAGATTAAAACTTGGTTTCAAAATCGGCGGATGAAAGAAAAAAAGAATAGAGAAAACAACCCAGAAAAAGTACCGAAAACATATGTAGCACCAATTCATGGAAGACAAGTATCAACTCTCTTGGATCAAGAAGCGCAACTGCAATTACGACCGGTTGTACAACATTACGAAGGATATCAGAATTATTCTCATAGTCATTAATAGCATCAACAAAACGGAATCGTCAATCAACCATCTTATTGCTCTAATTCTACTTCTATAAGTAATATGAACCATGCAAATGTTATGATACATTCTTATGGCTAGGAAATTGAAATTGATTTCTTTCACGTGATGTTAAAAGATTGAAGGAAGTATTAGATAATCTTGGTATTTGCACCTAATATTAACAATACAATACACAATACAATTATACAAAGACAATATCTATATTATTTCAAAATGCCGACGTGACTTTTGACTATATGTTTGCACTGTTCTTTATTTCTGCTTTAATTAGTAAATTAGTAAATATTTAAAAGTACAATTTATTTGTGTTAAAATAAAGAACAGTGCAAACATATAGTCAAATCAGAGTCACATTTTTAAATAAGAGACAATCTTAAGAAGTGCAGTTGCAGGGCGAACTCAGGACAAAGTTAGTCGGTCCTTCACGCTATAAAGAGGGAATGCTGCAGCAACCAAGTAAGGCAACTGACCTTGTGCTATAATGATTTATGGCCGCTCTAAACAACAAGAATTCACAGTTCAGGTATCTGAAAGTAGAGTCGTTTCATCGCATTTTCTTCGGAACATTCTTTTCACAACTTTGCGTTCAAAAGTTGAGCAAAATATTGCATACGTCATGTTTAAAAATATTTTGACGCAAAGAACAAAATCAATATGCTATTTGATTGATGATGGTGATTATCATTTCCACTCAATTTCTTAATCCTACCGTCCCTTTTTTAATATGGAATAATTTTTAATAATTTTTACTGCGTGTGGAAATTTATTATTTTTCATGTGTAACTTATTAGTACAAATATATTGATTTAACCGCATTTAATATAATAAAAAAATTAAATTTTATTATATTTAATTTAATTTAATAAATTGAATAGTTTTGTTTAAAACTATGAAATTTACTCCATATCATAAAATAAGTGATGAAACTTAATAAAGTTATAAGCAATGCAAATATATATATATATATATATATATATATATATATATAATATGTATATATATATTTGCATTGAAATCAAATGATGTAACTTGAAGAACCATTTGGCTAGTACGTTAGAATTTAGGGGACGAACATATAGAGTGGGGAGAATCGCTGTACAGCTGCGCTGTTCGCACGAACCAAAATGGTTGAAAGTGTAAAGCACGCGTGTTTAGTGTTCCTTTTTTAGTCTTTTTTTCTAATGTTTTAAGTGGTTTTTTTAAACAATAACTCTTTTCCTTTAAATATGACCTATAGTGTTCTGCAATACAAAATAGTAAAGCCCCATAGTTCAGAAATTTGTAAGTAAATGCCTTATGTTTCTATACTCTGCTTTGTCTTTGCTTTATATTAATATGAAATCAATTTCATCAAATAAAAAAATAGTGCAAATTAAATTTGACTATGATCTAGTAGGTGATACTGGAAACTATTTTTTTATTTTAGAACTATTTTATTTTAGAATTTTTTATTTTAATTTTTAGAACTTTTTGTTCTAATTGTACTTTAATTACATTTAATTAATTTATAATTGTAATTTTTTTTAACTCTATGTAATTTTGTTTAATGCGGGAAACATTTAAAAAATAAGTGTGTGTATTGTGCATTCAGAGAAAAGAATGATTACAGTAACTATAATTTTTATATGGCTCATATTTTTATAGGTATTCATACGATTAATTATAAGGGTGTTTCATAATGTCCGTGTCAACGCTCGTGTGTGGGTAGAGTGCGATAAACTGAATAGAGAAGTCCTTTATCGTTTTTCAATTTTTGCAATATTAATTAAAAAGCACTAAAAAGCAAATAATCGCGCGTTGCGCTCTAGGCGTGACAGCAACGAAGTTCCCACGACAACGAAAAATAACAATGCATATTACTCTTGCTCTCGCCATGCATTATTATTTTTCGTAAAGGACTTTTCTATTCAGTTGGCACGGACATTATAAAACATCCTGTATAATTATAATAAATTTTACTTTATTATTGTATTAACTTCAGCAGAAAAGTTTCAAAGTTTGTATCACTCAAATGTCTATCCTGAATATGAAAACATTATAACTATCTTTTCTACTTAAGAATCAAACATTTGTAAGTGTACTCTGTTCCTTAAGAAAATCTCAACTTTCATTTGTCATAATCAGACTCATAGAAACAAACATAATACGTGATGAACAATGATGAAATCAATACAAATTTGTGTCAATGTAATGACTATTTCAATTTGTCAAATTTTTTACTGATTGTTAATTTTTACCGACTTAAGAAAATACCTCTTAAAATGTGCGTGTACGCGCCACTAAATACCGCATTAGATAATTTTCATACTCTTTTCTACAATATTTTATTTTAGATGCGTTACGCAAACTAATATTATTTTCTCATGGAACAAAGTGCACAATTTCTTGACTGACACGGGAATGATTACATGATTTTATTTTGCATGGAAAAAAATAGCACACATACAGTACTTTTCGATCCTGTTTAAAAATTTCCTATTACTAACAATATATTGGATGTATTGAATGCTACAAATTGCTACACTGTATAGATTGATTTTGTTAATATTTAAGGACCATGCGATGATCGCATCGTCTATTTGATAAATTAATGAAATAAGTGGTAATAAATGACCTAAAATAAAACATTTGTACTAATTTCACTTTACGCATAAAATTTTTAATTTTGTTTATAAAATCAAAGTTAATTTGTTTAATATCGATTTTCTGATTACACACATATCCTTACTACTATCCTTTGAATTTGTCACTATACTTTCGTCAGCAAAATTAGTAATATGTACAGAAAATAAACGTTATTAATGTGCATTAATGTGTATTATTTTCAAAAAGTGCATTTATGTGGCTTATACTTTTTACTTTTCCTTAAAAGTTTGAATATTGAATTAATTTGCAAGTATTGCACTAAGATGCATTCTCAAACGAAAGTACTTATAAGCGAAAAGATGGATTCGCAAAATGGTCGAAGATTTAGGCGAAAACGAAAAGAGAGAAGAAACAGGATGGAAACAGGGGGTTGAGAAAGGTTTGTATGGCAATGTATAGGTAAACCTACATTGCAGAACGCACCCCCAGGAGGGACGACGGCAACGAGTGAACCCCGAGTTTGTAGGGGTTGGAGAGAGAGAGCGAGGGTCGATATTGTGCTTGACAGATAGTTTCCCATAGCTCCAACAATCCATCATGGCCGGCACGCGGATACGTATTGGTTTTTGTGCAACGCGTCTTAGCTGTGAACCTCGAATTGAATATATTTTTTTCTCTGTCAATCCTCTTGCGTAAAATTTGTTTTCGCGTGCTGCGCTGAATTTTAGCGAGAAATGGTACATATATATTAACATTATAATTAAATAATGCATTACAAATTTATGCATTATAATTTGAGTAATAAGAATGACTGAAAGATATTCGGCTGGCAAATAATTTCGTTTGGTTTTTGATTGGTACTGCTTGCAATGCCGATTTCACTCTTTTCCTTTCGGTGCTACATTGTAACTTATTTCGGCATTTGGAAGGTTATCTTTTACGTAAATTTTCCATAAAGTTTGGTTGTGCTAACATTAGTATTGTGTGTGCTTGGTACTTGTAAAATGGAAGTAGACAAAGTGCATTATCGTCATATTTTGTCGTTACTATTTCCAAAAAGGCAAGCAAACTGCGGATGCTCATAAAAAAATATGCCGTGTGTATGGGGATGATGCCCTAACAGAACGCGCATGCCAAAAGTGGTTTGCCAAATTCCATTCTGGAAATTTTGATAGGAGATTTGATCGCCCTACTGAGATTAATTCAGATGATATCAAGACTTTCGTCGATAATAATCCATCCCAATCAGTGCGAGAGATTGCTACAGCACTCAATAGATCTCACACAAGTGTTGAAAATCATTTACGCAATAAATGTGTTATATTCCGTTATAAAAAACCAAATGAACTTATTTGCCAACCCAATAAGTCCATTTGATTCACTAGAAATGTAAACCTATTTCTATAATTTCTGTCGTAATCTACTCAAGTATAATTAGAGTTTTTATTTCTCAAATCATAATCATATCTAAATAATATTAAGATGCTCGTTCATATTTTTAAAATTTTAATAAACAGATTCGAATATTCGGAATCTAAATATTATTGTACAATACTAAAAAAGATACATAAATAAAATACCTAAATTATCTGACTTTTCACTCACACATTGTATGTAAAAAAGATTTAGCAATTTAAAGAAAATAAAAAAATAACATAAATAAAATTTAACTTTGTTATATTATATACGTTATATATAAGATATATTTCTTTTCAACAACTTCTATGTACAATCATATGAATGCTGAAACCATGAGTAAAGTTATAAAACTTTATATTTGTCAAAATTGCACCATATAAATTTTTAGTTAGTTATTAATAGATATTTCTAATATTTGGATTAAAATTAGAGAATGTAAGGTGTACGTGAAAGTTACCAAAATTTATATTATATCAAATTATTGTATAATTGCAAACGCATGAAGAACTAACGTAAATTATATCGAAATAACTAATAAATTCATATAGAAATACGTAGTAAAAATACTCAATATCATACATTTTTAGTTTTGTACAATAATATATTTTATTTTAAAAATTATTTTTTATTTTTTATGGCCCTAAACCTTCTGAAATAGAGAGAATAATTTATATTTCTTAGCTATCGATTCATAGTACGCATCCTGTAGCTCAAAATTATACGTAAACCGGTTATGATCTGCGGAATAAAATTCTTCACTTGATAATTGCGATGAGTTCAGTGCAATCCGTTAAATTCGTGAGTGTTGAATAAATAATGACACTGATTACAAGGCTCTCCGACGGAAAGGTCTTTCACGAAAGACATTTATAAACCTGCACATGACATTGATACAAACTGAAGTAGCGATAGGATCAACTAGGATAGATATTACAGTTCTTACTATTCGACTTATATATGTTTATGACGTCATATCGTCAGTCTACAATTGCCCGGAGGTTGAACATTTACAGATGATTCGAATCATGCTTCTTGCGTGCAATTGAAAACCTGATTTTAATGATAATAATTGCCGTTGCAAAATCATCAAGCAGTTGACATCGGATGGATGATGGGCCGATTATAGCAGTGCGGAAAGAGAGGGAGAGGACGGACGGGAACGAGTGCATAAACCATCCCGCGAATTACCAAGAGAAAGCATAACAGATACACGTGTCTTGGCGGCTCCGCTTTGCGACACATGATTCATGGGGGTCTTGATACGTTTTTTACACCTGCGACAGCTTTATTGGAAATTCTAATGGAGAGGGTCCACGGTGAAGAGCGACACGAGACTTCAAGGCAATGCACCTCGGCGCGACTGAAATAGGCCGATCAGGCCCTACTTCTTGTCGCAGAATTTCGCCATCGTCGGGCATCAATTGTGTTAAATCGAAATACATTGACCCACCGACGTGATAGAATAAAACAATCGTGGCGATTAAATTAAACCTAAGCAACATTATATACCTTTATGTAGTTTTTGCACTCTATTTTTTCCATTTTTTTTTTTAATTTTTGCAACAAATTGCCGAATGCTAATAAACATGCAATAATAAAATATATTTTTATTCATTATGATCAAAATAAGACCAAGCTAATTTGTTTCGTAGGAAAATATTTTCAAAAGTGATGCATAGGCAGCTAGGTTCATTGAATGGCATAATAGCGTTTTGGTTCACCGTTTAGCGGTCCTCGGATCGCGATTTTTCATCAGTAAAAGAAGAGGCCTAAAGTGATAGTAGGTGTAGGACAAACAGCGAACTCTGAAGTGGCGAATGCCGTGGACATAGTGGGGATACGCGGCTGTGTATGTACACAGATGCGACGACTCAAAGTGGAAGAGATAGCCAGTTTCGTCTGAACGGTGGGGTAGACGATTAAATGGTGGGGAGAAAGAGAGGAAAGGGTAGGACGGCCGGGGGCGGGCGCGCACCGCAATTCAACGAGAACGGACGCACTCACCACATCTGGCGAGCAACTGCCACACTATCGGCTGCGCTCAAAACGCTATTCTTCCTTTCGAATTATGCGCCGTAAATGAAATGTCGTAAGAGCGATTTGCAATCCTATGCGATGAAAACATAATTCGGATGAAAGGCGCTACCTGTGAAGATTTTAACACATTGTCTTTGTGTTTGCATTATTGTATTTGCATTTAGCAATATTATTTTAAATAAAATGCAAGCTGTATCATTATAATTATATTTGGCAATGATTATTGTATGATCGCTTTAATCATTCCAATGCAATAATTTGAATAATAAATAAAAGATAAAAATTTTTGAATTTTTAAAAATAAAGTACAAAAGAACTTGTGAAAAATTAAAATTAATTAACGGCGCGAGAAGAAAATGCAGCGTATATATAGTTCAAAATGCGAAAGAAATTTTGCTTAATGTAAAGAACTCGTTTAAAGTCTTATCTGCGACGAGCAAAGAGAGCTCCGCCTCCTCAGCCGTCCCCTCTGCCCCGTTGCTACCCCGCAGTGCCCCCCGTTTGACCAACTGGCTACTACGTCACACATGCTTCTACTTAGAGCCGCCAACTCCGAAGGCTCTCCTCTCGGCCTGTTCAGTGAGTTACGAGTTGCGTCCGGGTTCGCCGTACGAACGATAACGGGGGCGTCAATCGAATCGCGATTGGGAGAGGATTCTACCTCGTGCACGCTCTTCCCTCCTTGTCTTTCTCGGCTACAGGCAACAGGTTTGAATTTATGGGACAATAAAGAGTGTGGTGCGTAGTGCGCGTGTCTCTCTCTCTCTATCTCTCTCTCTCTCTCTCTTCCTCTCTCTCTCTTTTTCATCCTCTCCTTACACCTTTCTTTCCCGTTCTAGGCCGCCCTTTCTCTCGCACAGATATCCTGTCCTTTCGTTGTGAAAAGAGGAGTGAGCGGCGAAGACTATCAAACTCTCATAAAACTGTCAGCCGCGGCCACCGAGGCTGACTTATGTGCGCCCCTTCCTTAGTCGCGGTTGGAGAACCACACGTTTTCAAGTTGGGTCTGTACCTCTCGTGCGACGATCGCGAATCTCTTAACGAAAGATCGGAGCACAATTTCCGAGCGGTTTCCACGGAGAAAAACAACAAAAGCGATTGGAAGTGAACACAACGCGCGGATACATCTGACTCGCGTTGCAATATGAAGGTACAGCAAAATTCGCACTTCTGAAACGTATGTTTCTTCCACCCCTCGCTGAAGAAGGGATGCGGTATGTATGATCGAGCTAAGATTGATTCGCGACGATGAAATCGACGGAGATACGGCGATATTAATGGGCGAATCGTTTTCGGTCGATCAGTAAGGAACAATCGCGCTTTCGTGTGCCATGCCACCCCTTTTCTTTTTCATCTGTCTTCACCGCGAGACTATACAGTAGGGGGCGCGTGCGCGCGTAGCCCCCCTCGCAAAGCGGACGGAAGACTGCTTCTTGGTGACGTCGCGGCTAGAAGGCTGCAGAGGAGAACGAGAGAGCGATCGAGATACTTCTCCCCCACCAGTGGGTTTCAGGGCTCCCGAATATCTCTCCATTAGCCCCCCTGACGGTGCTATCCCCTCTCCTTGACCCCTCTTTCGCCCTCTTTCTCTCTCTCTTACGCACACCCCTCTCATCGGTTCCTGTCACGTCGGGTAGCAGCCAGGCAACACCACCACACGACGAGCGCCAGCGGCAGCGGAGACTCGACAGAGACGCAAGGAACGGGGTTGAAGAATCGTACGCCGACGGAGAGACCAATCAAGGTTTGACGAACGGCGGGGATTGGTCGAGGCGCTCCTCTGACACGCAGAGAGCGCGGGCACGTGACAAGCTACCTCGCACACCGGCCTTCCGTTGGATCGGCGGCGAGGCCTTCAGTACGATACCAACCACCCTTCGCGCACGCAACAGGAACGGCGAACCGCGCGTTACTACTCTCTTCACCCTCTGTCGCGCGGTGATATGAGTACGAGCCTCCGTCGTTATCGCGACGCAAAGTTGTCTGTTAAGTGCAACATTCTGTGACAACAACGCTGAAGAGAGCAATTAGCATCGTCGCGCGAATAATTTCAATCGCGGCCGCGTACGTGTTACTCCGTATGTCATTTCGTCGCGGTGGGACTTTACAAGGTCATCTTCAATGGGGCGCCTCGATAAGCTGTTCGTTACGCGCTACTGCACGGTGGGACCACAAGTTCTTTGTAGGTAATCACGACTGGTAAGGTCGTAAAGAAGCAGAAGACAGTTTTATAGCCCAGGCCCACGTGGCCCTCGTAAACTTGACTCGCAGGTCGGTTCGAATTCAGACACGGCCCGCCTGCCGCCAGTTGTCTGCCTTTCTCTCTGTCTCTCTCTCTCTATTAGTCTTAAACCCCTCGTTCATTATCAAATCGCTTAGAGACGTGTTTCGCCGCGTGTAACAGATCGTGATACGCTGTGTGAATTGTTCGACGAACAACAAGGTGAGGCTTGTCAAACGAACCGGCCACGTGTGTTGCGCGCGATCCTCCTCGTCGTTACAAAGTCACCGGCACGATGATGACAGATTTCTATACTTAATGACGGGGCGCGTCGTACAGCCGCCTCAATCAGCCGAGCACAACGTCGTTTGGTGTTTTCGTGAATGACGGAACGTAGACGTGCAAAAAGATTGGTACAGTGACGTTGACGGCAGGTGAAACGTACGTGAAGAATGAGTTCCTATCAATTCGTCAACTCGCTTGCATCATGCTACGCGGGTCAGCAGCCGCAGCAGCAGCCGAGACCGACGCCGAACTCGCCTGGAGAACCGTTGCAGGCGGCATCGCCGGCCGGTGGAGACTACTACAATCCGAATGCGGCGTCCACCAGCTATCCCGCGCCCTGCTACTCGCCACAGCAACACTATCCGCAGCATCCTTACGCCGCCCCGGCGTCGGGCATGCAACACACGGCGCCGACTGGGATGATAGACTATACTCAATTGCAACCGCAGCCTCGGCTGAACGCGACCGCGACGTCACAGCAACACGGTATGCACGCTCAGCAATCGCAGCACCATCAGCCACCGCATCATCCGCAGCAGCAGCTTCACGCGGATCCGACGACGCCCCTTCTGCAAGGCGCCTCGGCACCATCCGCGCCGTCGACGTCCAGCTGTAAATATGCCGATTCGACATCGTCCACCAGCGTCGCGTCACCGCAGGATCTAACCACGTCCACGTCAAGAAACAGCCCGACGCCCTTGGTGGCGCCTGGCACAAGTAAAGCCGGATCAGGACTGACTTCGCCGCCTGGTAGCTCGTCAAGGTCGTCCGTGGCTGCGTCCGCGGCCTCACCACCCAGCGGTAGCTCGAGAGGTGTCGGCGAAGGAAATTCAACGCTGACGACAGCGTCTTCCGCTTCGTCGCCCGCCTCCTCCACATCCAGCACTTCTAGCACGGGCAACAATTCGTCCAACAAGGGGAATCCCTCCGGTTCCAACCCACCACAAATATATCCATGGATGAAAAGGGTTCACATCGGTCAAAGTAAGTCTCTCTATTCTATTCTTTTTTATTTTCTTATTGCGCAAAGTAGCGAGTTTTTTCGCCGTCTCAAGGCATTTCGTCTGTTTCCTCTCTTTCTTTGAATTATTAATTGCTTGCCGAAAGTTAATAGAAAAGAAATTGTTTAATTCAGACTATTGTTATAACTTCTTGTAATAGAAAAAAATCAAAGCTTTTTATTCTGCTTCATTCTAAAGCGAAACATAAGTGTGATATACAAATTTACTAAAATAGTACCGCGGACGTATGCAAATGTTTTTTTTTTAACATTCAAGATGCCATCCGTCTATTAAAAACGCGAAAGCACTAAATTGCAGCTAAAATATGCGATTCCCAATTATAAATCTACCTAAGTTTGATGATAATAATCTTCCTTCATATATCACGTTTCGTGACTTTAACGGTACAAGCAGGAATATATAAATTTTGGCATTCGAGAAGTATCGCTGAATTTAAAAAGCAAATATCTATTTACGTAAATGTCCACTCATGATTATGTTTTAAACGCAATGACGATAATTTGCGTTCCTTGTTATAACATAAAAGTTTTTGTACAAAAAGATTAGATAAAAATTAGGAAAGATACATTAGGCTATAAAAAACCGGGGCGGTCGTGTCCAGTGTCTAAAGTTAAACAGGCGTTGCGTAAGAGTAGCTGGACACACAACAATCAATAAATCATAGCATCTGACGTCACAGATGGTAGATATCAATTGCAAATGTTGTTTAGAAGCAAAAGATATGTATTAAACATAATGCAAATGCACCGCGTGATAATTAAAGTTAATGTCTTTGTTAATTGATATGCAAGTTTTGTTATCACAAACATACTGTTTCACGCAAAATACCCAAAAGACAAATTAAATTAAACATCGGAAAGCATCAATCACTAATAACAACGATATTCCTGCTTATATAAGATATCGCTAATGTGTACTGTTAAAAATTAAGCCACCGTTATTGCAAAATAAAGATAACTGAATATAACCGTGATTTATTAAATAATTTAATACCTTTCATAAAACAGTTATCTAATTTTAATTGATGTAAAAAGTACGAAAGCTATTTCGTACCGTGCAATAAATATTAATTCCATGACTGAACAAACATTATATTATGATTAAGTAAAATATAAATCAAGAATGGTCAAGCGATATTACCACACCGCTATTCTTACGATATCTTTGACAAGAGGAAACGGACAAAGAGCGCCGGATGTGAAACAAAGAAACAAAGGCTGTACGGTTAATAACTCCAGGCAAATAGGCGATTACATAAACGCAATCTCGCGGTAAGTGCTCAATAAGCATGTCAAAACTGCCGGCGCGAAACGTCGCGCGACTCGTGTCTATCTAGGACGAGTCGCGGAGCACATGCGGAAATGAGCACGCGACGCTCGAGATACCGTCGAGGAGCAATGCGAGAGGGGTGCAGCCGGAGTTGGTAACAGAAATTCGGCGGGGGCCAAGACTAGATATTCACCTGCCCCCGTGGCCCGAGGAAGATAAAACAGCGCGGCGCGCTGGTCGCGCTCACATTAGTCGCCCCGCGTGATTTACTGCGCGGCCAGTATGATTCAGTCAGCGGGGAATTTGACGAAGAATTAATGGTATTATGATATCGTGTGTAACTCTATGTATGTGCGCCCGGGCCATAAATCAGGCTGCATTGTAAGGCGCGGGGGGTTGCCTTTCCTCTCCTTCTAGTTCTCTCGGGTTAGCTCGAACGAAAGGCCTCAGACCGTTCGGCTCGGCCCCCAAACGGGATACGGCTCCGATCTTTCTTGTACACGTTTCGGCTTCCTCTCCGGATCGCTCGCATCATGCCCGTTTGGTTAATGTAGCATCCTTTTACCGCGGCTTACGTCGCCTGTCCGACTATTTTGCGTGCGCTTTGTGTCGCGAAAATCGAGAGGTACGGACGGATCCACGCGTCGCCTAACATCGATTACGGCAATATAATATTAGCAAGAACATGCGATAGTAATATAACGTAAATAAACTATAAAAATTAACAGTTTTCAATCCAAGCGGAATTTCAATTGCATTAACAAATGAAACTACAAGCCAATGTGCAATAATCATGCAGAAATCCGAGATTGTGGCGTGTTTTAATTAATACGATGATAGTGCCGATGATTAATGAAAGTAAATGAAAAATAGATTTTACGTATTAAGCAGAGATGAAATGTAAGTGCTGAAAAATCTGCTGTCTGAAGAACATTGGGTAAATAGTATGGCCTATAGTGAATAATGCCATTATAAATTCTCCTAACACGAGAATAATTACTGTAGAGCAAAGAGTAAGAGCGCAGTAATCATAAATCTTGAGCGCGAGTATATGGAATGCAGTGGCCTTTACGGAACTATGCTTAAAATAATGATCAAGCACTATTGATCCTTTAAAGCTACCTTCAAATAGCAATAAATCTTGAAAGAAAAATCTGTCAGTTGTCAATCAGTTTGTCAACCATGCAAATCCTTCTTTTCACGCTTATTTGCTGACAAGGTTATTTTTTCACTTTGTTTCATTTTCTTTGAAATAGATTCTAAGGAATCTTTTTTTTTTCAAGAAAAAAGAAATCTTTCGTAAAAATCCATCAAAAGTTTTAGCTAAAATAGATTTGTTATAAACTTACGTGTTATTAGAATTTTAAATGATTAAAAATTGAGTAATTTACACAAATTATTGAAATAAATACATTGGAACTAAAGCAATATTGAAATAGTATGTAGACCGGTTAGAAATAAAAATAAATGATCCATGTTAAGAGAAAAATAATTGATTTGTCACGGATGATGTTCACACAACATAAGACATTCCGTTTACATTTCGACCAAACCGTTCCGACGCTTTCGAAACCGACACTGATATATAAACATTTTAGCGCTTGATTTGAACAAATAAACTATTTATCAAAAGAGGAAGAAGAAGCGGAAGATGAAGATCTGACTTATACTCGAAATGGCACACTGCTATATAATTTTTCACTATTTTGTTTTACATAAAATACATAGCGAGAAGATTGCTTTTCATTAAAATATAAAAATATTTAATATTTAATAGTAAACTATTATTAAAATACTTGTTACATTATTTTGTAAAGTGCAAACAACAAAATTCATCACTTACTGTCTCCATAATAAAACTATTTTAGTAAACGTTTAGTTACATTATTTTAACAAAATATAAAGTTATAAATTGTCATATATATGTTCATATTAAAACTATACATTAATAATATTGGAATAATATCAAAATGCTGTGAGATATAAGTTAAATTTTATGATAAATAATTTATTTGTAGCAATAATTATATGATCATGATGATCAAATTTGAAGAAATTATCGTTGCGCAAATAATAGCATAATTATTTTTCTTGTGAATTATTGGTTAACGTGTAGATAATCTGGGGAGAGTAAGAAAGAGAGAGATACAGAGAGAATGTTTCAAAGGGGGCTGGAAGATTAGATAGAGGTGGCCTTATCCTTATGGAAAGTATAATTACACACCAATCATTCCCACATAAATGAACCTGGGCGGAGAGAAAGATCATAGATTCTCTTTAAATCATATCAATGGCAAAAAATAGTTTAAATCTTATTAAATATGATTTCTGGGATTTCAATTTTTGCATGTTTATTCATTAATAATTTCCTTCTTATTATCTTATGGAATATTTTAAAAGATTTTCCCCCGATATATTCGCTGTTTATTGGATATAGCAAAATCGCATGTCAAATTTCTTGCAGCTTCATTTTCTTAATTATTTATTAAAAATTTCAGAAGACATTTTTTATAAATAGAAAGTTTAAGATTTATAAAATCTTAACTTATAAAACTTAGAAATAAGAAGTTTCAGATTTATATAAAACAAAAATTAAATAAGCGGTCTATCATCACATCATAAACTTTAAGAGTTTATATAAAAGATTAAACAAATTTTTGACAATTGTCCTTTTTACAATCGCATCTTCTCATTATACCGTGTTTCAAGTTGTGAAAGTAATTTGAAATACGTCCTTGCTGTCGGCGAAATCACGTTGTTACAGGCATATGGGTCAGTTTGTGGTATAAGTGGTGAATTCCAAGCCAAGGAGATAAGTAGCTATCATTCGACGAGCAGCAAACGCGAATAAACATGCAATTGATGCGTGAAATGAACAGTTCTGCAGTCCATTTCCGAAATATCGACCTGCAGAATACCCGAGCGGACTTGTAAGCCCCTGTTTAGATAAGCAGAAGGTCATTTTCGTCATGGAGTCTGTAATTACGAGTCGATCATTCCGCCATAAATAAGGATGTGCGGAGTGCCGCGAGGAAAGGCACGTTTCTGTGTCCCGATTGATAGATGGCTACCAACGTGATTCTCAACATACGAATCCCCACGCCGGAAGGGTAGACAGTCGAACCAGTGGAACTGGATTTTGCTTAATGCCCTTAGCACATTTACACGTCATAAATATGTGGTGCTTGGGTGGAACAATCTTCTTGTCGAGGGACGGCGCGTACAAATGATTTAAATGTACTGTGACATTACGCTAAGCTCTCTTCATCACCGTTTTATTCGACTAATTTGTGTTAGAGTTCTACATGCGCGAAGACCCAGCTGCCTGCGCGAGCAGTAAAGAAATGGAAAATCGGTTTTTGTTCACCACACCCGATATGCGGGATTTTGATATGGCGCAGATAAAACGAGTACAGTGCCTTAAGCAAACATATGCATGCATGTTCGTATGGTTATGGCGCACTAACAAGAGAGGGAGATACGAGACCGCGCATCAAAGAACTGGTTTTACTAACCACATAGCATGCTGCATTTTTACGGCAACGAAAATCTTTTTATTGCGAAACGCTTAATCAATCTGCGCCATACATACGGCAGTTCTGAGATATTAAAGTTGGCAAAATCCAGAATTTTTCGTCACCGCCCAAAAATAATCCCACCGTCATTTCTTTAAGAATTCCGCGCTCAGCGTAT